CACCCCCTCCACCCCTCCTCTCCTCTCCCCCTTGGTCCCCAGTGGGTCTCCTGTGCCATTGTAGTGGGGTTGAGGCAGACAGTGCTGCGGTACATGAGATTCAGTTTCCTGTACCTGACCAGACCTCAGTGAGCCTTCCTTTCGAGTCCGACCAGGTACAGGAAATAGAAGTTCCTGTACCCGCAGTGCGCTTTTGATAAACTTCATAAAAGAATACAGACATTTCCTCACTTTTGAGAAGGAAAAAAGTCGCGTCTTATAGAGCGAAAAAATCGGTGGTGCCTCTCATTAGCTAACCATAGCTCTAGTCTGCAAATTTTCTATGTGCCATAAGCGATAAATGCTTGTGAAATGTGTAATATGTGCTTCTCTCTGCCTCTCTGTTGTAACGTTGGAAGCCCTTGATGTATGTTAATCCGGTATGTGTCAATTATACCACTCTGGAAATGTAAATGAGTACCGAGTAGTTTTCTGAGGTTAATAAAGATATTTTTTACACACTTTCTTCTAAGTTGACATATCATGCATTATTGCAGTATTCAGTGTAATAATATGTTCTTTAAAGTATCATATTATCATTGTGTAATGATTCATCATTAAGATCAGAAATACTTGAATTAGAGTCTACAAGTAATTGTCCAGTAGATATAAAGGAATCTCTTATTTAGCAATTTCTGTCTACTGCGGAGACAGAACCTCAATTTACATTAATTTAAATAATCGGACAATATGTTTTATATGTTATGTTTAAAGATATTGTTTATGGAGAGCCCAGACCCAGGCCGCCGCTGCATATGACATTTTAGCAATAATTTCAGATATTTTTACATTTACATTTCAGACATTCACAAAGTCTATCTTCTTTTGCAATCGAAACATTCATTTTATATTTATACCATTAATTATAGTATTTGTATTATATTACACATTGTCACTGACACATTTCTGATACAGGGAAAAAAATTGCATGATTGCTTTAGTAATTATAATTTTTCAGTCCATGCACCACATTCCTGGAAGTCCAGAATATAGCAAGAATCCTTGGTCTATGGTCCTAGGGAGCCATTTAACATTTTGATTGGTATAGTTATACCAAAAGAGCAACGAGTACGACGGTAGATCACATCTGCAACAGAACCATTACAGATTCCTTGTTGTATCAATGTCTCTGTGTTTATGTTTACAGGAATTCCTTGCTTTGCAGGTATGTACATAATATGTAGAGTTTAAGAAAAGCTGCAAATTGTGGTTTAGTATAAGTGTCCCATGACGTCAAGTCTCTGAAGGGTTTTGCTGGCCCTTTATATACCATACTCTTGGTAAGCCGGTCTTCTAATTATTTAATAATTGCCTCAAGGTTTCTTTCATTAATTGATGTGTTTCTTCTGAATTTAGATTCTCATGCCACAAAAAGACATTGTAAAGTTCATTTTCACAGAATAAGGTTCCAGGATGGTTTCTCATTTCACCAGGAAATCTATATTCCTCTTCTTCTACTCCTTCCCAACAACCAATTTTCTCTGAGTTATAGGTAAGAATCTGAGTCTTATACTGAGAGGTGCCCATATAGTCAATGATGGATTCCATGTTCTGTGTTTCATCTCGAGAAATACCTGGGCATGGACTTTAATCAGTCTTTTTTTCTTGTTCAGGCCATCATCTGACTGTCTTGAAATCAACTTAATAGCAATATCAAACATTAGCATAGCACTTCTCTTCAGCATAAGAAGGTTGTTTGCAATAGTCATCCAATGGTAAACTATATTGCAAAGTCTTTTCTTGAATCACCTTAATATGTGCCTCCAAAGTCTCTTTCACGAACATCTGTCCCATCTCTTTTTTAATTCCAGCATCTTTGGCCATCACCACTGAGTCCAGTATTAGGATTTGAGATAGTCCAATCACTTGTTTTTTTATCTATAATTGGTTTGGGGTATGGTCTCTAATAGGTTTATTGTTGAATACCAGAGTAGGCCACATTATCAAAAAATTAAATGTGTCTTTTCATTAGATTATTCTTGGAGGTTGTCCTCACGATTACAGAACTCCAGAATTTTATATTCGTTAAATCCCTCAACTAAAACATGTGCACATGCTAAATCATACATTGACAAATTCATAAAGAAAACAGTATACAAAATAACTTTTTTTTTTTTAGGGAAAACTCCTGGACGAATAACTGTGTGGGTCCATCCAGTTACCCCAATGAAACGCCAGAGAAAACAAGGTTTAAGTATAGAACAAGTAGAGGAGGAAGAACAAAAAGAGCAGAAGAAAAAGAACAGAAGACAATCACCAGAAGGCATATTAAATTTAACAGACTTTGAACTTTCTAAAGCACAGATTTCACTTTTAAATAAAGGACTGCAATTTGCACCAACTAGAGAACTTCACGACTTTGACTGTTTGGTTGACTTGAAAAGATTTACGAGGAAACTTGTTGTTGATGTTTTTTTCTCCAACAGGAACATCAACAACCATACATACAGGAACCTCAGAAAGCATCAAAATAAATACACAGCAGGCTGAAGCCCAAATCCACTTTTTTCTGGTTAACCAAATGTGACGAAGTGCCCTCCGCCACTTGGTCCTGGAGAGGCCTGCTTGCCAGCCTCCTGCCCTGTGACTATGGCCTGGGGTGTGTGGCCCTTTAAAAACATTATTGAGACTTATGGACTTTCATTGGACTGGTGCTGGCACTTTAAGCACATTTTTGGGACATAGTGAATATTGGAACAATGCCCCTTTAAATCTGTGTCCCCAGAGTCCCAGACTGTGGAAATAACTTTTACATGGCTTTTTCTCTTATGGTTCAGTAATTGGGACTTACCGCACCATTTACTACACAGGCGGACCACCCAGAAGTGGAAGCGTGCAGGCAATTTGCCTCCCAGGCTGGGAGCCTGCTGTAAGTAAATTGCCGACCGCTGGGGGGCCACCGTTCGTACAAATGAACATGTGGCGGCGGCCATCTTTATTCAGCCGAACTAGGTCAGCGGTGTGTGCAGCCAAATTCATGGAAATGAAATCGGCTACACATTTCAACGAACAAGGCTGACCCTTACCTTCTCCTACACTTAGACTCTGTGGCTGGAAAATAAGTCCCTTTCGGAAGTTTAAATGTACTGCTATACTGAGCCAATTGCACGAATGGTGCACCGTTCGTGCATTCGAATGGGACTTAGTCATTTTTCTGCCTGAAATAGACCGACCGCACAGCCCAAATCTATGGAACTGTTTTGGGCATGAAAATGTGCTTCTGGTCGATCAAAAAGGGACTTCCATCTAACCACTTAACCGATTCAAGTGAATTTTGGATATGTTTGTCCCCAAGTTATGCTGGTTGTAAAAATATAGTTAATATAATATAGTTGTATTCGTATTGCATGTGAAATCACAAAGTTATAAAAATTGTATAAAAATATGTTTTAGCTTGGAGATAATTGAGTTAATTAACTCAATTATCTCCCGAGCAGAGGGGAGGATTCTTACTGTAATAAGTGGGTGTGGTTATCCATGTGCCTTTATTGGATTGGTTGCAAAGTGTACAGTTTCAGTGCCCCACAAGGTCCACGTGGGTGGTAACCGTGCTGGGAAATTTGTATATGAGCAGGAATAAACGCTCATTGGAGTGAGTTCTTCTTGACCCTCAACACTGTGGCAAACCTAGAAACTTCAGATTATATGGCTGTGACTTTAAAGGTTGTCCGGAACACTGCTGCACTACAATGTTTAAATGTATTCTGCTTACTGTGGGTTAATGTATGTTTGTATTGAATTCATATGCTAGCAGCCGAAAGCCGCTAGCATTCATGTGTTTCGTTTCACGAACAGCCACTTTACAGGCTGTTCGTGAACCGAATGAGCTACCCCCTAATAGCCCACACAGAGAGGGACGTGTGGCGCTCATTAACCGATTGCAACAATGTTGCAATCGGTAATTAGAAGCTTTCCTAGGTGGCCGCCGTTCGGCTACCGACCAGGTGGCAGTCGGCCATCTTGGATCCATTGTCTCCCCAGCGGTGTTTGGTCGTCGAGCGCGTGGAACTAAAAACGGCTACTCAACGGCGCAAACACCGCTGGACTTCCAGGCCGTTCGGGAGCTCCTGTCTTTCGCTATTAGGGTTCCCCCATCAGAGTTCGGTACTTTGGGGCGAACTCAATGGCAAAGTGTGTTTCGTGCGGCGTTCGGTTGTTTTAGACGGGGGCCTCAAACCTATCTGGCACCAGTCAATTGTAATATTGAACTGTGCCAGATGAGTAGCTGCATTGACCGAAACTGATTTGTGGTAGTCATAAAATGAGGACCCTCCATACATGATGCCCAAATCAGCAACCTTGTGCATGTATAAATCTAGCGCTTCTCTCCTATGTGGATACACCGTGCAAATCACGTTGCGATAAGTGCCAAAAGCCATAACAAACTGGGGAATGGTGAGTTTTTTGTTCATACGTGGATCTCTGGCTCTTAAGACTACTGAAATGTCCCCATAGTTATATGCTATATTTTCTAGGATGTCTTGTGAGGCTATGAGGAGGGATATTAGATTCACGTCCTTTCCATCAAGAATATCCTTCTTGATGGAAGCTGGGACAGAGTGGGCTGGTGGGAGTGGTAGCGGCTGGTGGGGAAGGGGGAGGGGAAATGAGGGGTATGTCAGTCTGAGCGGTCGAGGTTACTGGTGTAGGGACTGCTGGGGCTGTTGAGTCACCTGGAGTGGCTATGGCCGATTCCACCTTTAGAAACCTGCTGTTTATGGTTTGTAGATTGACCAGTATAGCAGCCAGAGTTTCCCCTGTGAACTCGTGCCGGGCCTTGGGTCATTGGCCTGAGCCGTCAGAAGTTTGTAAAGTTCGAGCTTTCTAGCGGTGGCTGGAAAGGGGATCCCCCTGAGCCTGAGCTCAGCCGATATTTTGGGAATGGTCCAATATCTTAGGGATCTGGGAGTAGAAGAAGTGAGGGATTCCTCCGGAGACCCAGGCCTGGCTGGCGTGCTGGGTATATCATCTGATGGGGATCGATGGTCGGTTCTTTAGACATTCTGAAAGGAATAATGATTTGGATAAGTAGGGTATAGTGGAGGTGGGATGAGACCTCCGGAGAACTGGTCTGCTAGCGAGTGCCGAGGCGAAGAATTTACCTAGAACCAAGTGACAGGCGAGGCCCTGCTAGTGCCAAGTGGCGGTAAGAGGCTCTACCTATGATTGGGCCAAGGGGATTTTGTGGCCACCAGAACGAGGTGGCAGGATGTTGGCCTCTCGGTGACCGTAAGAGATTCAAAACGTGTGGCCGTGACTTGGGAAGCCCTAACTGTAGCCCTAAAGAAGGGCGAGCAAGGTGGCTAGCTATGATTTGGTCGTGGGGCTGAACCTCCGTGTATGAGGTGGGGTGTACACCTCGTGGGACCGTAGTATTACTTGGGAAAGCTAGGGCCAGCACCTGATCCTAAGAAGCCAGTTCTCTAACCTGAAGGGGGATTGTCTCTAGAAATGAAGTATGTAACATATGTAGATACTGACCTTGAGTGTTTGTCCTGTATATTTGGACAATGCTCAGGGCGACTTCAATATATATATGTGTAAACATATATATACTGCGAGGAACAGGTCCAGTCCAGGAACCTTGGGGTAGGAAATATGCTAGTAGGCCTGAGGCGTGCCACTGGTATGCCAAGTGTAAAAATGTTGACCGTATGGAAAGGTGTGTAACAGCAAAACTGTAACGTAAGAACCTGTGTAAGCTGAGGGACCTGAATGTTGGTCTATAATTTAGAGACAAGCCCCTGGGTTCCCACAAATGTGCATTATTTGTGAATGATACGGAGGTGAAGTGAGGCCTTAAAAAAGAATGTAATCTTAGTGAGTAAGATTAATGATATCTTAAATTCAAACGCCGGGGACCAGGTAACCTGTTGGTTCTTGATGGTGTAGTGAATCTGCGAAATGGCGCAGGTCTACGTAATGATATGTAGAAATGATAAACAAATAACATGTTTAATATAATAGTAACTTGGTGGGTGAGGCATCTTAGACCTGGTGTCTTTTGGAGTTTGTAACCCACATTGGGAGGTAGGAGGGGGCTGTAAAAAAAGCAGTGGAGGCTGAATGAGGCCTCAGGAGAAACGTAAAAATAGTAACCTTTCTTACCTGATACCGTGAAATGGGATACTGGAAACCACTTCCTGGAGTTTTTGAAGAAGAGTAGTAGAACCTAAAACATATTCATTGGAACCAGAGTATAATGTTTTAATTTAAACAGAGATTTTAGAAATATGAGCTAATGAACAAAATGAGTGGGTAAAATTAAGAGGCTTGATAGTGGTTCAGTTATTGATATCAAAAGCGTATAGAGGCCAACTGTTTCTTTAAGAGAATACCCCTGGGAAATTAACCATAATTAAATGTGACAATGGGTGGTAAATAGTGCCACCCAGATTTAGGTAAAACATAGGGAGAACCATGTACATATATTTCTCAAAGCAATAATACTAAGGAACTGTAATGGCTACCCAGATGGTGAGGGGGTATCAGCCGTTGGAGACGTCCTTTCTCCTGCTAGATGCTGTATAAGAATGGAGTTGTTCTTATTCCCATCCACTAGATCCAAGGGTAGAAGCAGGCATAGCTGGAAAATGGAGCAGAGTAATGGTGTAGTAAATCCCCTTTCAAGAACGAGACAAGGCTACGTTTTGAAGGGTCAAGCAGAACTAAAGCTTTAATGACAGACACTCTCTTTTATGCGATTCTGCCCATGCAAGGGAGACACCCACATAATTAACAGTACAGCCAATAAACACAATATACATTACATACATCTCCTCCCTTTAGATAACCACATAACATAATTAAAAATGAACATGTTTTCCCCAAAGTTTGGATGTACCCCAAATACTTGATAGCTTGGTTCTGGGGGACCAATATATCCAAAATTCAGCTCATTCGGTTCAGCCGTTCAGGAGTTATGGAGCTTTAAAGTCCCTGTTCGTGCGCTGAAAAAGCACGAAAATCCTGCCATCCGCATATAACTTGGTGTTCGCTGGAATCCCCATACACAATATATCCTTTCTACCGAACGGCCAACCGTTTTTAGTTCCAGACACTCGATGGCAAATCCCCGCTGTTCGTGCGTAAGATGGCCGCGAACACATGCAAAGTTCCGAAATAGCGGCCACCTAGATTTTAGACAAAGGATTCGTGCAGTATCATGCGAATGGTCTGGGAGGTAAAATACCAAATAACTACACAGCAGGGTGGTCCGGTGTTTGGCAATTTGCATTCGTTTTTAGTGTTATAGCAATCCACATAAACAGGCAAGTATGTTCTTTTGTATTCCCAGGCTTACGTATGGTTAAATATGCCCAGGCAGAGATCATAGTTCTGTTACAGGAACATACTTAACTTATATTAGAAAATAAATTCTTGAAACCTCTTGCATTCGGTTAACTGAATATGCGAGAGGGATATGACAGTACCGCATGCGATAGTTAGAATTAGGAGCAAACGAAAGATTGTATGAAAAAAGTTGTTCGTACGTTTTCGGCTAAACGAACGTATGTAAGAAACAAACGTAGGTGAGTATAAGCGGTCGGTAATTTAATTAACAAAACAAACAAAAGCGTGTGTACTTTGCGGTTGACTGAAAGCCTTACGAACGCAGAAGTACACGAACAGCGTAATCACAGGAACGGGTAAGTAATGGAGGGAGCCTATACCCGTGTTTTTAGGCCCGAACGTGGGAAATAGCCAAACGCTCGTGATCGGAAGCCAGATAGCCGAGTAACGAATATGGTGGGGCAGCCGGTGGACCAGCCCGGAGGTCAGCAGTAGGAGCTGTTGAAGACAGACTGTTTGCTCGAGGCAGGACTTGGCGGGAACAATGAACCTGAACTATGGAGACAAACAGCTTGAGTAAGTAGGGTGGTAGGGTTAATATAGGGTCATAACTCCTCCCACAAATTCACGCCAAATGGCCTTCCAACATATATGTAAAACATTGTTTATATATAAGATATATTTATGTTTATTTTTTTTATTTTATTTTTTATTTTTAAATATATTTATATATGATTTTTAATTTTTTTTTATATATATATAAATATTTTTTTTATTTTTTTCTCTCTCTCTCATTTCTGTATTCTACTTTCCGATTTTCCTTTCCCACTTGTGTTCTTCTCACTCTCCTCTTTTGCATTCCCATATAAATATTTATTTAGTTCTGTGCTTTTAGGTTCGAGACGGTATTTCATATTTATTTTAAGAAGAAGTGTTGTTTTACCAATATGTATAAAACCATTGTGAGAGGCTGTATTAATAAAGGATAACACAGAAGCATGGACATGCTCCTCCATCCTGCGTGCTTTACATTGGATTTGCCTCTGGGTGCCGGCATGCACAGTCAAGCCCCCTGGTCAGACTCCTCCTGTCAGAATTGCTTTGACAGCTAAAGAAGTCAGCAAAAAGAGCCACACCCATTCAGGGATTAGGAAACCCTCTTGCTCCGCGTACTCAATGTGAGAGCCAATGGGCAATCTAACCCTGTGTTAGACCCGCCCACTAAATTGCAGTGGCGGCTGATTTAAACAGGACCTTGGCACACTGACAACATGCTGCTATTGATAAAGCGGTGGCAGAACCTGAAATCCCACTAACAGCAGTTGTTTCACAAGACCTGGAAGGACTCCATTCCACAGACCTTCAGGAATTGGAACAAGGCAGAGACCCTGACTAAAGACCAGATTACCTGCAGGTCCTATCACTGGCAGGAAGATCACTTTCAGTGTCTTTACACTGCAACAAGTACCTGTGTAGGTATTAAAAACTCTTCATACTTTTGTGGAACCAGGACATACTTGAAAATGATCAATTAGTGATGTACCGAACGGTTCGCCAAGAACGGTTCGCCGCGGACTCATCATTGAGTAAACTTTGACCCTGTACCTCACAGTCAGCAGACACATTCCAGCCAATCAACAGCAGACCCTCCCTCCCAGACCCTCCCACCTCCTGGACCGCATCCATTTTGAAGCTGCATTCTTAGTGAGCTGTCCAGGAGGTGGGACGGTCTGGGAGGGAGGGTCTGCTGCTGATTGGCTGGACTGTGAGGTACAGGGTCAAAGTTTACTATGTTCAGTATTTCGAACTGTACTTTGAATCCCCGAAGTAGACCGCACAGCAAAATTCTCTGGAACTGTTTTGGGCATGAAACCATGTGTGCGGTCGGTCAAAATATGACTTCCATAGAATTCTTGAACCCCTGAAGTAATCTGGGTGATTTTTGGATATGTTGATCACCCAGATCAGGGCTATCAGGGAATGTAATTGTGGGGATATCATATGTTTTTGGGGTACTTTTGAGGTTTTGTAAAATATGTGTTTTTCTGCCTGGAGATAATTGAATTAATACAGTATCTGACTCAATTATCTCCCAGGCAGAGGAGAAGGATTGTATGTTTGTTATGGGAGTGATGTAGATTAATTTAGAAATAAACAAAAATGTTTAAAAGTCTATCTGTTCCTGTCCAAATCTGAGATGAATAAATTGCGTATACGCAGAAGTAAGTTCACACTGACACATGCAGTTCAGGTTAAAAACACTTCAGGAAATTTATTAGCATCTAGTTAAAAAGTGGGCACGCAGGCCTTTTTATATGCAAAATGACATCATCATTGAATATCAGATAATAACAAATAAACATCATTAATTGGGTTAAATGTTAAGTGGCTATGTCAGTGTCCACCCATTAATATTATTAATTGGCTCAGAGATTTGAGTGACTAGTGAGGCACCCTCCCATCATGGGATGTCGTCGCCATTGCTCTTTAGCACGAGGCTTACTCGGTGGAAAGGGGGGCTTGGGCGTCATTTTACGTAGTTAGTGATGTCAGTCTCGTGGTCTGTTCCAAGGTTCTTTTATGAATAGAACATTTCATTTTGTCACTGTTCTCCTGGCCTTGGATTATACTATGTTGCAAGTCAACGGAGATCCGCTAACTCCGGGGCTAGTTATGTCCTTAGAGAGAGAGAATACAATCTCTTATTCATTATACTGAATACTGTCAGGAAATTCTGTCATGTAAGGTGAACAAAATGGAGTTAGTACAATAATTCAATACAGGTTCTAATAAAGATTTTAATAATTCTACATCAGTCCCCCCTATGAAATGTTAGATTCTAAAAGATAATCTTTATTTGTTAGTATCAGAAGACGTGTTAGCCCAAAGGCACAGAAACCCCGTGACCCGCTAGCTAGGTGTTATTGCAAAGTGCAAAGCTGTCCCTTCGTCTGTCCCTAATTGGCTAACTCATCTGTCCGCTGGGCACTCGAACACTTCACTCCATGGGTATCCCGAGGTGGCTAACCCACCACATCTCCGCACGGTAGACTTCCCAGACAGACAGATGCTGTCCCTAAGCTGGTCCCTTCCTAGAACTCTTGCACTTTATCAATAAACGGGATAGATTGTAGCGGTATACAGGGCGAGTTGACTTTTTGGAAATCTTGGTCATCAACTGTGAGGTGTGCGTAAGTGGGTGCCGCTTGGTCTACAGTCTTCAAGAGGAGCTTTCTCAGACAAGGGAGGACACAACAAACGAGAAGAGCAAAGATAAAAAGGAAAATTAGTATTGCTATACCAATATGCATCAAAGCTTTTTGCCATCCTGTCATCCAACCAAACCATCTCTCCCAGGGATCTTTTATCCCAGAGTTCCTCTTTAGCTCCTCAGAGAGCTCTTTCAATTTTCCTATAGCTAAGGTTACTTTACCATTGGGGCCTGTGTTTTCTGGGATGTAAGTACAACATGTCATGGTGTCAGGCAGAATTTTACATACCCTTCCTTTTTCGGCTAGAATCATATCTAAAGCCATTCTATTTTGGAATTACATTTGGGACGTAGCCTGCAACTGTTCGGCCAAACCCTGAAGGGCATCCCTGGTGTAATTAACAAACCGTTGTTGGTTGTAGTAGATGTAATTTATCCAATTTAAATTCTTGTTTGCAGTGACTATGGTAAAAAGTGATTCAAATCCTGCAGCAACTTCATCCCTGGTTTTAAACTCATTGGGCACCCCCCTAGGTACACCAATGGCATCAATGTAAATATGAGGGTCAAAACTGCCTTTTACTGGGGCTTCACGCTTTACCTTGGTTGGTGAGTGTTTGGACTCATGAGTATCGGGGTGTGTGTCAGAGATAATATGTATGGGCATGATTGCTTTAGCCAGAGTACACTCCCCCCACCATTCTTTATCCATTCTTGATCTCAGCTGTAGATCCCCACACAACCAGTAAATATCCCCCAATGATCTAGTGTGGAATTGTAGGAGGTTCATAGAGACAGTTCTGTAGGTGGCACAATAACCTTTAGAGAAGTTACCCACAAATTTACCAATTCCATCATAATTAGCATAACAGGTATAATTACCTTTATAGACGGTAACACCATCTGGGGGTTTGCAATCTTTGACTAGAAGAGGATACTCTACTGTCCATGCTTTACATATGGACCTATTGAAATTGTAGTGATAGGCAAAAAGACTCAGAACACATTCTTCTATATCTACTGGCAAAGTTGAAGGCACAGTGCCCAGGTGCGGCCGGGCACCACCACACACATAGCATGCGGTTCTGTTATGTTTGTTGGTATTATATTTCATCCATTCTAACCATAGATTAACATCATTGAAACCTGTTTCAGCGGCCATGGTATCTTCAAATGTTGGATTTGCAATGGCCATCATGTCTTTAAAAGATTGGATGTGTGGTTTCAACGGATTTGAGACCATGTGGGTGGTCCCTTTCCACTCAGGAGAGTGGCACATATCTTTAAGGTGGAAATGTCCTAATTTATTATAGGAACCCTTCTTCCAGTACATTCCCATTACATACTGGTCTGCATCCGTTGGGCTGGGATGCTCAATGTTTAAGATTAATTTCATAGGTATGCCTCCTCCGGGCTTTCTTAGAGTCATTCTCTGGAGGAGGGACCTACCGTGATCATCAATTTTAGATAAGACACTTTTTGGTTTGTAACCCCAGGCAGGCCCGGCATTCCATCCCGCCGCCCCCCAATGGTTACAGTTGTGCCCCCATTGTTTGTCAACTACACAAACATAGGGGTCCTTTGAATGAGGGATATCTCTATAGATATTCTGAATCTGTGACGTGGGGAATGGGCATTCTACGATGTCACAGTAGTCAAAAGTATAAGTAGCCACACGGGTACATGATGAATTATACCAGAAGGTGTACCCACTAGCATCTTTGGTGATGGCCACCTGCTGGGCTTTAAGGAGGCCAACTAAGGAGATAATGTACCAGAGGCACATGGTTGCATAGAGTTAGCTTCCTCTGGGGCAGGTGTCTTCTTGCAATGGGAAGCGTGGATCCAGTTAGGCCTTCCGGCCAATTTGACAGAGGTAGGGAGATCAGGAGAACTTGGAACGGACATTTACTGTTTTCGCACAAATTTCTTGACCAGAACCCAGTCATCGGGGAGCAGACTGTGGTTGCCTGTGTCAGAATCAGGATCTGGAATTGAAGAGAAAACTTGGGCATGGATTTTGTTTAAGGCGTTTGCGAGTTCAGTTACATAATCTACTAAGACATCAGTTTGAAGTTGTAGTTGTTGGGGAAAAT